CATTCCATTCATATTTTTGGATTTGCATATGCAGGGTGACTCAAAAAAATTAATGAAGGCGTGAATTTATTTTATCGATTTAATCAGGAATTACAAAACCGAATGCTTTGAAATCTTGGGAATATTTTAAAGTTATTATAAGCATGGTAAACTTTTGTTCAAAATGTATTTGTTCATCCCTCCTAAACAAGTTGATGACGTCACCCTTAAATTTTGCTGAATAAATCCTATCTAAAATGCAAAAAATATGATGAGTTTGTACTTGTGATTTATCATTCCATTCATATTTTTTAGATTTTCTTAAGAGGTGGTTCAAAAAAATTAATGAAGTCAATTTATTTTATTGATTAAATTAAAGGCAACACTTATTATTAGTATTACACCCCAACCAACCCAATTTGGTATACACAAAATTTGTTAAAGGAAAAACTCGGTTGAAACATAAGGGTAACACGCTTATTTACATTGTCTTTAACATTACAGACCTGCATTTGTTTTATGCGCTCACTTGGTTCCGCGAATGTGAAATAGACATGTTTATAATCAACCAATTGTGAATTTCACCGTCAAGAATTAAAATAAAACCCAATGTTTTATATAATAAGCGGAAGTCGAAGCAATAAAACCGATGGTCGTTTTGTTTACAGTTTCTCTGTTTGACTCTCACGTATGCTGTTACGCCTGTCATCTTAAATTAAGAATGTTTATACATACACGATTTTCAGTTGCCTCTGATACGTATACGTGAGTAAATTGTTTCGTTATTTTATTGATTATTACAAATCAATATTCAAAACGACCCAATTCATTTTCCCGAAAATTTGAGAATATAATAATTTTATTCTTAGTATTACGCTACATCTATCCCAACTGATATACGTGTCCTTGCAAAAATGTTGATGACGTCATCGCATTTTTTTTTTAAATTCCCACTACAAAAATGTAATGAGAAAAAAAACACAATAGGCATGCAGTCGTCAAGTTTCCGACAGCGAGGGAAGTACTGTCTAAACTCTTTAGACCAATTTTTTTATTTTTGGAACCAAAATTTTAAATTAACGTCAATCAGCTGATCGTCCAAAACACAGGTTAAACGAAACCGGCCGACTGGCGCAGGCATGGAGACGTAGAAAATTCGTTGCGCGGGAAAAGGAACGTTGGTTGCCAACTTAAACTACAACTCTTTAACTGCTTTAACCGTATAATGTTAGTATATTTTCCAATATATCGCTGGAAATAGTATATCCGAAGTGATCGTCAGAACATCAGAGGTGGTGGTGTTCTGATTGCTGTTAATACTATAAAGATCTCAGTTCAACCGCTAAAATTTTATTTCTTTTATTGTACAACAAATTGACTTGGTTAGAGTCAAGGTACTTTTAAAAAAGTTGATGAGGGCTTCCTCCGATATCTTGATATGAACAACTATTTAAATAAAAAATTTCGGAAGCTTGCACGGTCGGAATCAATACGTGATCGTTTTCCGGGTTGGAACCGTGATAATTGAGTGTTTGGGCTCAACGTTTCTCACGCTTTCGTAAGTGGCATCTTCAGGAGCAAGGTTAAGGATAAGGCAAAACAGGACGGTAAATCAGTATGTCAACCATACCAGAGGCGAAACTCTTTTGGCGGGAAGAATTTGGTTATGACTTATTTATAGAGACGTGGTGGGGGAAACCGTCTTGGTTGAAGCTGATTAGCCGGCTCCGGGCCGAGTGGAGGGAGATAAACGAGTATTTGCACCCAATGTGGCCTTCCAAATATTTGACAGATAATAAGAGAAATATACAGCATTCCCTGCTCCTGTGGTGTAAAATATATAGGAGAAACTGGTTAGTCCATAAAAATTCGAATTCAAGAACACAAACGTTGTCTCAGAACAGGTGTTCTGACTCACTTTGCCGTAGCTGAACACCAACATGAAACCGGTCACACCATTCTGTTTGAAAATTTCCAAGTTCTGTCCAAAGCACCACATTTCTATGACAGGAAAATCCGTGAAGCTATTGAAATCCATAAATGTCCTCATAACATCAACCGAGAATATGGTTATTATCTGTCAAATATTTGGATGCCCACACTGGATGCAAATGCGATATTACAGAACATTTTTGTAATTAAAAAAGGAGGGAACATGTACCTTGAACAAAATTGTGAACATTTTCAACATTTACTGTGACATTTGAACACAATAAATTTGTTTCTTTTTATTGTTATGAATTAGTTTTATAAGATATGAAGACTTTAAGCAACCAGTTATGCAGATTCGTGTGCTATCTATCATGAGTCCTTGGGAATTTAGTAAAATTCGCATAAAGTGATAGGCAGCACACGTCCATGACCTAGTTCGACCCTATAATTATTTATAGAAACCCTGTATGTGACTCTAACTGTGACCTAAGTGAGTTCTGTGATAAAAATTATTGTGTCACTGAAGATTATTCTAATTCTTGTAATTCTCACCCTGTATTCTCAGAATTTATCGTCGACCGCAGGGACATACTGAATTCTGTTAAAAAATTCTAGAGCTACTTTGTAACTGGCCCTGACAACATATTTGCTTTCCTTGTAGTGGATTGTATTAATAGTTTAATAGATCCTTTATTACATATATTTAACGTAATTTTCTAATAAAATTAATTCTGTGAAAGCTATCTAAAATAAGTCATGTTCATAAGACTGGAGATAAATGTGAAATAAAAAACTATAAACCAAACTACTACCAAATTTTGCAAAATTATTTGAGTCAATTATTTCAAGTACTATATATTCATTCACCTGTTTGTAATGACTAATGATATTGTTCCAGAACAGCCTGATTTTGTGAAAGGTGGGTCAACAATAACGGACCTCTGTGAATTCACTCACTATGTGTCGAATACTTTAGACAGAAATCTCCTGAAAGACCTTCAGTATCAGAGCAAGTTGTTGATGATTTGAGACGACTAGAGCCAGAATCCACAAACAGCTTTGACAAAATTGTCTTAGAAGTCAGGAGTTCCTGTTGCAACATGAAATTGAACAATGGGTCCAAAGCATTGACGAAAGGATATTACAGAATATTAAACGTTTCCAAGTTGATGTTATTTACTTTTGTCTTTCCAAGGCATTTGACACAGTACGTCATTGTATTCTTTTGTGCAAATTAAACTCATTTGGTATCAGTGGTCAATTATTTTTGCAGTTAGAGTCAGTGATGCCAGACAACAAGATATTGAATTTGGTGGTCACAAGTCATCAATATTTAATATTGACAATGGAGTTGTGCAGGGCCTCAATTGAGGGCCGCTGCTATTTATATTATTTTTTAATGATGAAGACGGTTTAAATGTCGCACAGTTATTTACGCTCAGAACCTCAAAATAGCGAATGTGATTGAGAATTATGACTGTTTAAAACTGCAAGAAGATGTTAAATATTTCTTATTATGGTGTACAAAAAATAAACTAAATTTGAATGGAAAATTATGGATGCGTGGATATTCAACCAAAATTTGCAACGCTTAGTCCACCTCCTGTAAAACAATCTTAATGAAACTCCAGGAACATCCTTTGAATTTGACCGTGACGAAAGTACAGGCAGCTTAGACAATTTACCTTCTTTAAATGTTCATCATATTAGTAATAGCACAATTAATATTTATGTACGGATTACCTAAACAATAATTTTTTTTTTTAATTTTACGAAATTGGAAAAAATCGGCTTCGCCTCGTGTGCTAAACTGTTTTTTCGTTGGATAAAATTCACTTTTATTCACTTATGTCATAAATAGCTATTATAATATCAACAGAAAATTTCTTGAAATATGTTGTCAGTTTTGTGAACTTGGTGAATAGATTTACTGCACAAAGTTATTATTTTTTTCACTAGCAGTCACGAAGCATGCAAACGTCGACTCATTTAGAGGTAGCAAATTCAACTTTCGCGACCACGGGTTCAAAAAGAAGATTGAGGTTATGTACGAAATACTTGATGTGATTATTTCTTAAAAAATGAATAAATGTGTGCTATTAACATTACTTGATGTAGTTGGTAGACGGTAGAAGATAAAATGATTAATTCAGCGACAAGTGTAAGCGGTTTTCTTTGTGTTGAAGATTTAGATTAAGTTTGATTAGAAATCAAAACCAAATCATGTTGCGTCAAAAAATTGAACGTTTATTTTTTCAATTTATTGTCTTATGATTTCTACTAGTGAAAAAAATTGTATATTAACCACGGTTGTAAAGCCACTTCTAGACCTCGCGCTTCAGAGCCCTCGACGCTGCGCGTCTCGGGTTCTAATTTGCGCTCGGTCTAGAATGCTTGGCTTTGCAACCTTGGCTAATAATATACTATTATACGTTAGTTAGGTTAAAAATGGAGTACTGAAATATAATTTGGAAACCTTATCAGCAAGCTTTCATAAATCTCATAAAGAATGTTTTACGTAAATTTTGCAAATACTGCTATTATAAAATGTTTGGTTTGTACCCTGTTAGACACTGTGACCAGGATGCTCTGTAACGAACACTTTCTGTTATCAAAAAGTAATGTAAGTTGCCTAATATTTTTACAAAAAATTTAAGCTGAGAAATATCGTATGCCAACTTATTACTTGAGGTACAATTTTATGTTCCACGTGTAAGCTGTCCGCTCATAACGTGTTTTAGGCTATACAACTGTCTTGGGATTAATGTAGATACATTTTATGTCAAGCTTAACAAGAAAAGTGTTAAGTACAAAATTCCGGCACATTATTCCTAATTATTCTTATTACTGCGTTGTTTCCACTGGAGATGTGTGTCTGTTGGAAATATATATAATAATTATATTTAATTGGGGTTCTTAGTTTTAACCGCTTACTAAATTTCTTCTTTTTTTCTATTTCCTCTAGTGCGTCTACCTGTCTTAGTGATATTTTCTATTTTTCTCTTTGTTTAGTTTCCTTGTTGGTGAGTAGTACTTAGAAGAACTTTTTCTATTTTATGTATTAAGTAGTATAACTAAGTTCACATGTCTTGAATTAGTATGTATATAAATACCTAAGTCATAAATACTAATTTACATAAATAACGTACAACAAACTACCCTATGAATATTCTCGAACTGAACAATGAGTAAATTAACATAAAGTGCCCCCCATTCTCCCTATTTCGATTCCTTCATGGGATAGAGGAAGGTCTCAACTGAGTCCTGGCCGACCATGTTGCGTGCCATACAAGTGTACACACCCATATCAGCCCAAATGATCGACCTAATACTAAGAGACCCATCAGGCAGAGCGGACACCCGGCCATCACCCTCGCTTACGATCTGGTCCTGGGGATCAATCCACATTTGGCTGGGTTTAGGGTTGCCCAAGGTGCGGCAGGGGAGGACCACATTGGTACCGATCACATCCATGTAGGTGGGAGCCCAGAGGGAGATTCTGGGAACGTGGTGTACTCCGATAACTTTAGTGGTCAAAAGTTGGGTGAAGTTGCGGTCGAAACCTTCATTTTTGATGACGTAAATGGTGGTGTCTGCAGTGGCGACCTTGGAGCCGCTTTGGGCGACGCAGGTGAAGGTGACTGCGTGGACGGGGAGGAGGTAGTTGATGACGAGGCGGCCGCGGATTTTGCCCAGGCCTTGAGAGGGTACTTCGGAGATGGTGTTGGTGTCATAGCTTTGATGCTCGGTGAGAGCTTGGTTTCCTCGGAACCACTGGAGCGTCGGCGGCGGAGAGCCCATGGCCTCGCACTCGACCTCAACGTACGAACCGGTCATCTTGCGGATAACGGCCTTGGGGGCGGCGCTGATCTTGATCCACTCGTCTTGCTCCCGGAAGGCGCCGGGGTTGCCGGATACCACCGGGATTTCGTTGTCCATGTCGCCGGTCAGTCTTGTGGAGTGGCACAGTTGTAGCGCAGCTAAAACCAATAATACTGATAACAGCTCCATTTTGGTTGTTGGTTGGTTGTCTTGGACACGAATGAGGGCTCCAAGCCACCCTGAAGCTTATATATCTAGCATCTATGTCAGTCTCGCCCCCACAAGAGCAAATTCTAAGCCTGTATTCTACAACGTACTATTTATCAGAGGAAAATTGAGCGAATTAAGATATTATTCATTAGTGACAATCAAGGGGCATTGTCGGAGGGGCCAATTAGGCGCCCTCGCAGAGCCGGCTTTCGAATATGAAGCAGAATATTTTCATATCTTTTTTGTATCTTGGTGTTCTAATTTCGGTATAGTTAACTTCTTGGAAAGTGTGGATATTCTTGATTTTTCTGTTGGTCCCAATGTTAAAGAAATGTTTCTGACTTTCTTCATGAGGGTTTTCCAGTTTAGATTTATTTCCTTTTCTACAGAAAGTTCTCGTCCTATCACTTTCTTCTTAGTGGCTACCTCTTATTTCAGTCAGAGATTATTAGCATATTTTGGCATTTAGTTCTTGTCTCTATATTTTTCAGTTTATAACTGCTTACTTTTTGGTTTTATTTCTTTTCATCTCCTCAGGGATCAAGTTTTTTCTAATGAGAATTTTGTTTTATCAGGTAATAAACACTTACTATGTGGTATTCACGACAAGCTCTGGCATATTTTATATTTTTAATTTATTCCATATTTGCTTGTCCACAAGAATGTGGTCAGCGATTAATATTTCTTCTCCATGTTGTCTAGTTGGTGCTATTTACATAGTTCTACATATTACCATTCTATGACGATGATCTGTTTATTCATACCATCCATTACGTTTTGGAGTTGCCCATAGAATTTTTCTTCTTTTCACTGGTCTTTATTGGGCCATAGACTGTTATTAGATTTCAAAATCCTCTCCGCCTGTTCAACTGAACTTGAACTAGTATAACATCCCTCCACATACGTGCTTTATTCCACCAACAGCATTGATGGAATAAAACTACTCCTGGTACCTCGTATTATGTAACACCCATATTATCCACCTTCGACCCTCCTTTTTTATTTTCTTGATTAGGTCCTCTTTTTACTTTCCGGGCCTAAGCTAAAGAAGTATGTATTGTAATTAAGTCCACTGGGCGACTGCTCTACCATTTCCACCTCTCTGTCTGCCTGTCTGTCTGTCTGTCCGCCGTCTGCGTCGATTTTTGGTAGACAGATAATCTCCGAAACTAACAGACCGATTGTTGCCAAATTTTTTATGCCTATTATGAATATCATGTAGATATCAAAATTCTAACCAAACTTTGCCTAATCATTCCATCAACAATGTGATGACGTCACCTCAAACTTGTACATGGTAAATAGCTGTTAAATTGTATAAAATAACGTAGTCCTACACGTGTAGTTTATGAATCCGTGTTGAGATTTCCGCTAAAATGTCGAGATTTTTGGAAAAAGAATCAAAATTACATAACATTTGGCAATTTAATTTTCAACCTCCAAAACTGAATGCCTTGAAATCTTGCAGATTAAAAATTTATCATAAGCATGATAAATTTTTAATCAAAATATATTTGCTTATTCTCCCAAAAATTTGATGACGCCACTTCAGAATTTTGCCGAATATGTATATCCTATCTAAAATGTGCAAAATATGATGAGTCTATGCTTGTGATTTATCATTACGTTCATATTTTTTAAATTTGTTTATATAGAGTGACTCAAAAAATTAGAGTCAATTTATTTTATAGACTAAATATAGAATTACAAAACCGGATGTTGTAAAATCTTGCAGACGTTTTAAAGTTATTGTAAGCATGGTAAAATTTTAATCGAAATATACAGCTTGTTACAGAAAAAAGTACATTAATTTTAACTGGTATTAAAACTAGTCGAAAGCAATTAAATTTGTAAATAACATTTTGTCGTAAACCCTTTCGTGATCAAGTTAAAATTAGTCAAAAATTTAATACAAATTCACCTACCCGCCCATGGCTAACAAAGCAGTTTCTTGCGGGGAGGCATAAGAAATTAGCTCAACACGGAACAAAAAATGTAAACATTTGAATGCAAGGCTGTAATAGGTAATGGAGACCTACCTTGAAATCGCCAAAAACTTCATAATAAATGTTCAAAGTGGTCACCATTATTCTCTAGACAACACTGAAGATGGCGACGAAATGAGTCCTGGACTCTTTGTGACATAATATCATTGTTTCGAATTGTTTCAGCAGCACGTATCACTCGTTTCCGCAAAATTTCAAGAATATCAAAATTGTTTATGCTTGCACTGCATTTCCCTGGGCTTCTCCATACACTAACACCATGTCCGTGTATTCACTGTCCGAATAGCGGGGCATAACTTCACACAACGAAAAGTGAAAACATCGCAAAGGAAAGTCGAAAAGGAACTAACTGTTTTGAAGCTGATAAAACGTTATCGCTAGCCAACTCACCAAAAAATTGGGTAAAAACAAACACTTTCCAACTGATGCATCGAAAGTGAAATTCACGGTCAACAATTGAAGAAATGCATGACCGGCTCGTTAAATAATGGGCGGGGGGGGTAAAACTGTGACAAAAAAATTCGTGCCAAATAGAAAAATGTTTTCTGTTGACGAGTAATGTTCGTGGTTAAATTTAATGTATCCCAAAGAATTTATGAGGTCATCTCAAAATGTTGCTGAATAAATCCTATCTAAACTATGCAAACATTTTAACAACATTCTTATTTACTGTTTTTGTCTCTGCCTAGCTTTCTATAATTTCTTTAGCGTATTTTGTTTCTTGCTTAGATTTTCGTTTTTCTCTTTCGACACCTCTAAACATTTATTTAGTTATTTTTTTGTTGTGCTGATACCTTTCATTATTTCTCAGTTTTTAAAGATAATAAACTTTTTATTCCAGCGACTATTATCAATATGTGCATATTGTTGCGCATCAGTTTTGACCAAAAAAATAAAACACATTTTTATTGCATAAATTGAAGTGAATAACTAAAGATGAGTAATATGTCTTAAAATAATCATTCCACGAAGGAGTTACACTTATTTTAAAAGGAATATAGAAGTATTTTTTTAGAACAGCCTTTTATATTTTTTATTTTGTAGGTTTCAGCTTTGTTATGAACGAATTTTCTTTCGATATTACGTACTGTAGAGCGTTTTTAATCCGTAATGAACTGAAATTTTAATTTAGCTCGAATGTGGTTATACCAGTGGCGGCTCGTCAGGGGAGGCAGGGGAGGCAGTGCCTCCCCTGGAAAAATTGACTATTAGTTTTTGTTTTAATATCTGTTAACTTCAAATATATTTTACAGATATAGCAAATAACTTTCATGGAACACTGTGATTTATTAAAACGCGTCTTGGTATAAAACATATTTTGAAGTACGCGCTTTCGACAGGAATAAGCGCTGATCACCGCCGTGTAGGCCAGCTTCAGACAGAGGCATGCCTCAGAAAGACGGATATCTTCAGTATGATTAGTCAGTGGCGCTAATATGTTTTTGAGTAAGACAATAGTCATCAGTGCTTTATCAAAGCGCCAGCGGAGGCACCAACGCCTACCGTCCTTAAAGCCAATCAGATCGGATTTTTTAATCTCACGGTGAAACTGCACAATGCTGAACAGGGATGCTGAATGCATTTAGTGTGCATTTAGTTGTGCATTAATTAGACGCGAGGAAAGGTGTTCACTGCATGTGCATTGCCAAGGTTGTGTATTAAAACTTTTAAGTTAACTTGAACAGAGTAGGACAATGAAAATGTCAGTTTTGCAATTCTGATAGCAACATAAGAATCTATAATCTCCAGAATTTCTTATAAAGTTTAAATATTTAAGCACGGTTTTCTTACGACGAACAATTGTATGTCAAAGATTTAGAACCTCTCATCCAGATTTGAGGAGAACTTTATTAATTAATTGATTAATATATTTAAATTAGCCCTAGATCATATGAATTAATATTTAATGCTAAGAAAGCAAATTCTATAGTCTTTAAACCTTCTCGTTGGTTTGTGTGAAGCAATTAAATGTTTTTTATTCGAGAAGTGTACTCATATAGAATAGAGATGTGTTACTGACTCAAAGCTATTTGTATTGTTTTCATAAAAACGAATAAACAATCTGTCTTTTAACAAAAGTAATTGCCAACATGTTAATTAATACCTGCTGATTTTGAAACGAAATTGTTGCCTCACCTAACGAAAGGACCACGAGCCGCTACTGGGTTATACAACAATGCTGAAAACAATAATAAGCTCGGAGTTTTTAAAAAGAATTCTTGAAAGTATCGAGACCGGCTTTGCAAAAATATTCCCCACAAATAAGCATGACTGCTTTTATTCGCCGTCTGCGACATGGAACTCGAAAATCATAAACGCAGAACAAGCCGAGTTAATATTTACTCGAGCTATTCCCGCAAAAGAAGTGGGTCGAAAGAAACGGTGCGCAATTAGCGCAAAACAGTCTTGACTTCCGAGCGATTGCAGCTCGACAAAGAAGCGCAAATAACGAAACCGTTTAAAAATAATTGCTTTCATGCCAACCTTATCAACGATAGATCTTTAGAAACAGACCAAGTCGACGATACCGCAACAAAGGATCAACTTTCAAAATAAACGTTGACATTTACGTGTGCGCTCGCCCCTGACGACATTAGAGTTTTGCCGAAGCCGTATTTCATAATAATTGTTTCAAAGGCATGATTTATGTGCGCACAACTCAGATTTAATTAAAAACACAAAAGAGCCGTGCAGATATGTTTGCAAAACGGATCCGGCGGTCCACTTAGAAAAAATTGCGGCGATTACGTTTTTCGCGCTCATTTCCACTCAATATTTCGGAGCGATTTCTGAAAGAATCGGATATTGTTCGTTGGCCCGGCAGCTGTAACGAAAGTTGGCAGCAAAGCGATTTTAGTAGCGATCAAAACATTGGCGTTTGCGTTAAAAAGTTATTTCCCGCCTCGCTTAACAACGCTCAATACGAAAATTTTTCTTTTGCGCTAACGTTTTTTAATAAAGATACAAATGAGATCAGATATTAAATGACGCTTTTTGTATGCAAATGAGGGGAATGGTTAATA